CCCCCCCCCCCCCGCAAGGAAGCAGCAAAGTTAGAAGCAAGTTCCCCTGCTCTTTTGTGTGCGCTCGTCCTTAAACCATCTGTGCTTCAAGTCTGCTCAAGCAAATACAGGACCCAAACACAAAGACAAGCCTTGGCTTCTCCTGAACTTGGGTGGCAAAGTAAAGGAGCAAATGCACACACTCACCGTGCTCTCTGGATTTCCAAGTGAAACTCCTTCTCTCCCTCTTCTTTGTGTTTAAACGGCCAGAGAGGTTACATCCCGGGAGCACTGCCTCATGCCCTGGATAACCCTGACTCTGCTCGTGTAGTGCTACCCTGCCCTGGGAGTGCACGATCAGAGCTCAAGTATTGTTGGAGAAAAGTGCCTTTCCCTGCTGTAAGCAAATCCCCACTTTTCACACACCCCCGGGGTCCCTAGCAGGCTTTGCATCCCCCATACCTCTCCAGCCATGTTCCCAAGAGCCACATTCCCTATCTCACATCGCAATTTCCCCCTTCCTGAGTCAACTGGGCAATTTCTTAAAATGCACCGTGTGGGGCTTGACTTCACTTCTGGGGTCACACTGAGGCTGGAGGATGCCTTGGAAAGCATGCAGGCAGGGGCCGGACGTCTGGCCATCGTCCCCGTGCACGGAGCGGGCTGAGACGGCGCGGAGCCTGGAGAGCACACTGTGCGATGTGCCTTCTCCTTCCCAGCTGTGCTCCCGGAGCCCGGGCTCCTGGGCAAGCTGCATCCCTCCCTACCTGCCGGTCTGCACAAGCTGTCTGACAGCCACTTCTTTAAACACGCGGTTGTTATCAAGCCTCCCTCCTTTCCCAAATTCCTATACATCGATCCCCCTCTCCAGACTTGTATCATTGTCTAGGGGTCGAAAAGCAGAGCTGGGGAAAGGGAGGAGGGGGATATAACCTGCCTTATCTTTCTGTTGCTAATTCCCAGCCGGCTCGAACTCAGGGGAGAAGGCGATCGCTTAGCAAAACCCTCCTCCTCCTCCCTCCTTCACCACTCCTTCTTTCCTTTTTCTCCAGCACATTTCCCCCTTGACATTTGCCTACGGTTCATTCTTCCTCTTCGGGAGGGAGAAACCGCGCAAACTACAACTAAAAAGAAAGGAAAAAAAAACCTAGAGGAGGGAAGAGGTGGAAAGGAAGCGGGGAGATAAAGGAAGAGAAAGGGAAAGAAGGATTAAAAAAAAAAGGCAAAAAGTGTCTGTGCCTGATTTCAGTGACCATCTGTGCAAAAGGTGATCATGGCTGGGTACTCACATGGCTGGATGGCAGAGCAGCTCGGAGCAATTAAGAAGTCTCTCGGCTGGAGATCTTCTCCCCCTCTTTGCTTGTAGCTGGCTCTCTGGCTCACACACACACACACACACACACACACACACGCACGCACCCGCCGATCAGATGCTGCAGGACCGGTCACTTTGCAAAGGGAACAAGCACGGGAGGGTTTGCATTCCTCCGGCTCCCTGTGTGTAGCCTATAAATAGCGAACTTTTTGATGGAATCAGCTAACAAATGAGAGGAGAAGGCGTAATTTTGCGCAGGGAGCCCCCCTTTCTCTTTGTAAGATTAAAACCCCCCGGGCAGCAGCCAGGGCTAAAGTTGGGAGCGGGTGGAAAGGAACTGGACTTTATTATGATTGTGTGTGTTGGGGAGGGGGCTTTTTGTTTGTTGTTGTTTGGGTCTCTCCCCCCCCCCCATCATCTGTTACAGCCCTCCCAAGGGTGGGAGACATTGACCTGGATTAGCACTGGCTTTCACCTCCGCAGTGTGGAGGAGGGGGGAGTTGGGGCGGCCAGGGCACAGTCTGGAGGGGGCAGCGGGACAGCACTTGGGGGGGGCGGGGTCGCGGGATCTGTTGGGCACTGGCTGGGAAGAAAGGAGGCGATTTGCCCAGGACTGGCCAGGCACTGATGCCCTCCGTTCCCCCAGCAAAGTCAAGCCCCTCTCGGTTTGTTCACCACCCCCGCCTCCTCGAGTGGCGGCTGTGTGGGAGAGAGCTTGGCCCTGCCTCTGACCCCGGCCGGGGGCTGGCACGGACCCGGCAGCCCTGGGCACTCACCCAGCTCCGCCCCCCCCCCAAATAAAATAAAATAAAATAAAATAAAATAAAATAAAATTGGGATCTGCTGTGGCAGGGAAATCAGCGGTGGGGGAAAAGTTTGCACCGGGACTGAAAGACACAGCGGGGACCCCGTCTCCCACCTTACCCTCTGGGGCGGGCACTGGACCGAGCCTGGGGGGCACTGTTAGAGGGGCGTTCGCTGCACTGGGTCCTGAAGATCTCTACCCCCGCATTTTGAATAGGGATCAACGTGACCCCTTCACTCACACAGAGCAGGGAGAAGAGTTGCCCGGCCCAGCCCCTTGCCCTGTGCTACGCCACGCGGGAGGGGGGGTGTTTGTGCCCCCCCTGGCACCAGCAGGCCTGGAGGTGGGAGCAGAGGGCCAGGGTAGGGCTCCTTCTCCCCGCGCTGGTCCCTGGTGGGGCGGGGGGGGTTGGGTTTTTGTGGTGGCTCATCCCTCCTGGTGACAGGTACCAGTCCCTGGGGGACACTGATCTGCAGGGAGCTTGAGGCTGGGTCAGTGGCAGCCGAGGGGCTGCGGCTGCTCCCAAGGATCCTAGCCGGGCAGCGATGAAGAGGTTTTTCTCCCCTGACAGGTAGCTGTCAGGGCTGGTTGGGGAGGAACTGCTGACCTGTCTAAAGACATCTCTCGGCGCGTCTCCCGGGGGCGGAGGACAGCTGGGGCCCGTTCGCGCTCGCGCTCGGCCGGGCCGGGCCGGCTGCGCCACCAAGCACGCGCTTCTGGGGCACCGCGGCCCCACGCGGGGGGGCGG